AATACCCATGTAGCGTAATAAGCGCAACGCAGACTTTGCGCAACCAATCATAAATCGTTATTTCATAAAGGTTACAATCACATTAAAACTAATTTCATAAATTTTAACATCTTTAAATATTTTTTCCAATGAGAAATGCATTAATTCTGTATTTAGATACTTGATAATAAAAAATGAATGATAAATACAATATTTAAACGTCATTTACGAACTTGCTGATAATTCCGCTTATTCTCATTGCGCTCTATGGAGATCAAGGGATTTGAAACTGCGTAATGAAAATTGCGGAACGCTCGTGATTGGTTCCGCTCTCGTTCAGCGTTCTGCTATTCTGCTGCATGGGTTTGCACCCTTACAGTCTCATTCACTACTACTACTGCCATTGTAGACCATGCATTACAGAAAAAAGGCCACCATGGCCGCTCTCAGGTCTCTCTCTCTCTCTCTCTCTCTTCTCTCTCTCTCTCTCTCTCTCTCTCTCTCTCTCTCTCTCTCTCTCTCTCCTCCCCCTCCCCCCTTCTCTCTCTCTCTACTACACACTACTACACATATGGGTGCAAGTTCTACAATAGCAAATCCTTTTCATATTCAATTGATTTAACATCATTTTATAATTTTTCATTGAATGGTAAGTCGAATCTCAGATATGATATTAATAATTATATCAATATGTAATATTTTATAAATAATTCCAAAATGTAAACAATAAATGCTTACAGATAAATGCTTTACAATAAATGCTTATAACTTCTCTCTTTGCATTTTTTCTCCCCGACATCGGCTTCAGATAATACTAACTTATGTAGCAAGATTTCTCTCTGGTAGCTCTTTGTTTATAACCTATTTTTTTGTTTAATATATTGCAGTTAATTATAATTATAATTAAGAAAAATTTCCTGAAAACATTCGCGCGTTGCCATGGATGAAATTAATTATGTGCTGTACAACGAATATAATGGTTATGATTTACAAATAAATTCTCGACACCACATTTAATGGAACGTATTAATTATTTTGAAATTTTGGACGACATCGATTTCAAAAGAAGATTTCGGATTTCTAAAAATAGCTTTATTATACTATTAGAAAGAATTGCAGATGAAATAAAATCTGATACTAATCGGTACGTATAACTGAATATTTTATTGTTATTTTAAAAGTTTAATGTGAAATTGATGAAAGAAAGTTTAATATGAAATTACATATGATACACACAATAATGAATTATTTTTTACATTTATATTTTAATTTAATACTCTCTCTATATATTATAATAGTAACAATAATGCCATTCCACCTATAATACAATTAATGGTGGTTCTAAGATTTTACGCAACTGGATCTTTTTTGATAACTATTGGTGATTTCTGTGGAATCAGTGACAAAAGTGCTCAGAGAATTGTTCATATAGTATTTCCTGTTATTGCTTTATTAAGACATGAGTTTATAAAACTTCCTTATCAGAAGAAATTCGTCAAAATTAAAGAGAATTTTATGATATAGCGAAATTTATTCGTGTTGTTGGTTGCATGGATTGTACGCATGTAAAAATTCAATCATATGGTAAATAAAATTAAACTATATCACATTGATATATTATTCTTTTATTACACATTTTTCTTTGTATATTAGGTGGTGAATTTAGTGCTCCATAGTATGATAAAACGCAAAATCACAACAGCAAATCAATTTTTATCACTTTTGATTGATTACGCGGTTACACGATATGCGACAAAACATCTCATAGGACTCCAGCCTTATGTCCCATGCAAGTTTGTTGCGACAGCCAATCTGAAGCGTTGATTTCAAAATGCAAGCTTGAGATTGGCTGTCGCAACGAACTTGCAATCGGCTTGCAACTAATGTAGAACCAGCTTAAGCGGATTAGCGGATCGCCAATCATAGTATCATTCTGTTAGATCTGCTTGTAAATTTTGCAAGCAAAATGTTAAGGTAACCAAATGTTAGGGTAAATGTTAAGAAGACCCCCTTTACTTCAAAATTTGATAAAAATATACTCGATCAATGCGTTTTTGCATAAAACGAAAGAATCTGGCAGAAAAAAATGTCGCTCTGTCTCACAAACCGAGATATTTTAGTTGCTGGATTTTATAGTAAAAGCTTTGCTACTTAACAGAACGTAATGTGTTATTTTTACATGAAAACTCTGACCGTCT